GAACTTTTGGGAATAAAAAGTACATTCATTGATCAGAAGACATACAAAATTGGCAGCTTTTAAAAGTGAGATCCTCATTAACTAAACAGAGTAGTTAACAGCTTTGCAGTTTTCAATTGCTCAGTAAACCAGAGTGACCTAATAAAGACATTTCTAGAACAAAGTGGGGGTAGTTCTGATACTATGGATATGGGGTCTATTAAATCATAACAGATATGTGAGGTTACTGCTGTGAGTATTTGCTGGGATTGGACCCAGTCTAGCTCACTTTACATTAGATGACCAAAACCTGTTTATTGACAGCTATGTAATTACATTCTTGAGTATGAACTTGGACGTTGCTATGTGAGCCCTTCAGGTCCAAAGCCTGTTAAATTTTAAGTTCAAATAAGAGAATCCTGATGTAATTTTTTTCTTGGAAGAACAGCCTCTAAGCCCCAATACTCAGTGTAAGCTGTCTTCCACACTTGTTGACTGAGAGGTTCCCCTGACAGTAAACAAGTTTGGGACATGTGATTAAAGCTGCTTTTTTAAAAAAAAAATAGATTTTCACTTTGAATTCAGAGTTAATTCTCAACAAATTTTGAAAACTAGATTCTTTCAAATTACTGTAGTTAATAATTAAGAATCACTTTGAAAATCATGATCATGCAGCTTTATTTTAAATTGTTGCATGTTGTTACGAGGTTTTTGCTCGTGCTGTTTTGAAACCCAAGATCAAGGTATTTCTGTTTTCCTTTTAAGAATGCCAATATGATTAAATACATAGGTGGAATGTGTGCTTAAAATAAACTGGTAGCATCTGCAGTTTCAGAAATCTTTGTTATGTAATGATGACAACTTCCTCCCCCCCCCCAACAACAACAACAAGAGCCCTCTCTACATTTCTCCTAGGAATTTTGTGTTGGAGAATCTAAAAATTTCCTGTGTAAAAGTACTTCTCATTTTATCAGCCAGTCTAGCAGTTTGAAGGCATATGAGATCCAGAATTTAGACTCTGTAAGCAGACATCCATGTTCTGAAAGCTTTTGGATGAGAAAAAGGCAACAGAACTACAGATTGTCTGTCTAAGGATAAATGGCTGTTTTTGATGTTCTTGCAATAGTCTATTTTTGCATTATCATAACTATCAGTAGGCAAGCCCATGTAGTAATATCTGCTTCTTGTGTTGTACAGCTCAGGACTTGCTGTTTGTGCTACTGCTGGCTATTTTTTCTGGGACTTGAAAGCTTTTCATTGAGCCTTTAGAACGTGCAGAGATCTGGTTGCTAGAGCGCAAAACCGATAACTTTGACTGCTGAACATCTGTCCTTGTCACACAAGTAACAATCCCAATTTTCTTTTATTCGTTATATTCTGAAGTCAAGATAAGTTTAGGTACATGTGTCTTCACAACAAAGGCCATGAAAAGAGCTTCTCTTTGCCATTACAAAGCCATTCTCAGCACTCCATATACTAGTGTGGGGAAAACGACATGGATGGGATGACTGACAGGTCTTAGTCTAAGCTTCGATGACGTGGTTGTCTGTCTTAGACAGTAATTCCCATTTAATTTAGTTATACTGAGTTCCAGTATTTGTCTTTTAACAGGTGGTGTATCCTGATGGAATATGATAGCTACTTCAATTAAGTGATGTATTTAAACTGTGAGGCTCACCTTTCCATGGAGGTGTGCAGTCAACTCTATGCTAGTCCCACTGAGCCTGCCACCCTCTCCTTATGTAAAAGCTTGTAACTCTTTCCCTGTTGGTAGTCAACCAAGCTGCAAGTAGTAGAGATCTGCGTAATCTCTTTATCCGATGTAGTAATACAACTCATACCTGGGAGGTTTACTGTCTATCACTGAGAGCATAGGTTTTTGGTATAATTGCTGGAGAAGACACCTGGCAGCTAAACATACCCAAATGTCTTCGTTAACAGACATGGATACCTTCTTACCTGAAGCAAGAATTTGTTAATTGTGGAATACAGGTTTAGGGCATAATAATCTTCATGTGCATCTGCTGGCTTTTCACAAACAGACAAACAAGATTTTTTTTTTTCTAAATGACACTGACTGTTGCAGAACTTGATGTGCACAAGAGAAGTTTGTATCCTGCCCATCCACAGGCAGTGGATGTCTGCTTTAATGCCTTCTGTACATGGGATGAGGCCCTGAGGGTTCAGAAGTAAGCTAGTCTGATCATGTGGAACGTACATATGTACCTCTCAAGTATAAATCACTTCACTACAAGTAATGGCAACTAAACCATCTGCCAGTAGTGTTGTTCTAACACTTTCTAATATGTTTAATCGAGCAAGGGAAGAAAGGACCATTTCCTCAATGGTCTTGAGGAA